TGAGTTCTCGGTATCCCTCCTGAGTCCCTCTTGGGCCCGTCTTGGGGCCTCTTGGTCCGTCTTGGGCGGCACTTGGGCCGTCTTGAGGGCTCTCTTGGGTCGTTTCGGCGCCGTCTTGGGAGCTTCGTGGGCCGTATTGGAGCGGTCTTGGGGGCCTCTTGGGCCGTCTTGGAGCGTCCGGAAGCCGAAAAAGCCAGAACACAAAAAAACATAGAAAAAACCAATGAAAATCAACGATTTTGGCCTCTTGGGGCTCTCTTCGGAGGCCTCTTGGAAGGCTCTTGGGGCGTCTTGGAGGCCTCTTGGGCTGTCTTGGGGGCCTTTTTGGCCGTCTTGGGGTCATCTTCGGCGTCTTCGAGCGCTCTTTGGGCGTCTCGGGGGCCTCTTGGGCAGTCTTGGGGGCCTCTTGGGGCACTCTGAGCGCGCTCTGGGGAGCCTGAGAGGCCGCACCAGAAGGAAAACCATCTCTGAGTAGACTTGGTCGGGCGGCGGTCGGGCGGCGGTCGGGCGGCGACCGGGCGTTGGTCGGGGTACTTTTCGCCGGGGGACCCCCAGGGGCCGCCCCGCGCGCGCGAACTAGAAATACTGTTAATACTGTTAACCAGTTACCGGAGATCTTAGCACGCCCTGGCCCGTTGGGCCGGCGAACTATTTTGAAAAATGTCAGCAGGGGCCAAATTGCTGATGTGAAGCAACATAGGTCTCGTACTCACGCTCTGGGACGGGACAGACAACGCGCACCTGGCGTGGATCATCTGTGGGGCCGCCCCGCCAGCGCTGCTGACGGCCCTTTGGCCCAGGTGGTGACACGGGGTGCTGACACGGGGCGTTCGCCCCTGGGTGCTGACACGGGGCCTTACAGCCGAGCGCGACGAACCTGGGTGCTGACACGGGGCGTTCGCCCCCGAAGCCACGGCATTACGCTCAGTGCGCTGCCGGGCCGCTGAGGCGGCCAGCCGGGACACGGGCGGCGCAGATGCCCCCTCCAGGACCTCCCAGGGTACCTCGTTCTATTGGTGGCACACCCCGACAGAGAGCGGCCGCGGATGGGAGGGGGGACCGCACGTACCGCTGCCGTAATTGGGACGACCTGGACGACAGCCTCTACAAGGTGCCTCGCTGTGACATCCGCTGGGCGCCGCAGTGGGACTACAAGGAAACCGTCGGGAAACCTGGCCGGAGCTCATCGAGCGCCTTGAAGGCACCTGCGGGGCGCTCTTCGTGGAAGACTGGGGTCGGGTTTGCGACGCGAGGGATGGCAGCGGATAGGCAAAGGGCGCTACAACCCCAGCGGTTACGAGGGGTTCTGCTCGCAGTGCATGGGCGACCTGGCCGCCTCCTACTACGACATTAGGGCCTATTGCCGGTACCAGCGCATCGACGTCGACTGGGGCGACGGTTGGCAGCAGCAGCAGCAGCAGCAGCAGCAGCAGCAGCAGCAGCAGCAGCAGCATGACTGGCAGGCGCGTGCAGGCGGAGGGAAATGCCAGGGAGGCAAGAGGGCCAGCAGCCCCGCCTGGCCGGCGGGAAGCCGGGCCCGCGCGCGGGGGATCCGGCCTCCGCCCCGGACCTCGCCCGTGCTGCCCGCTCGGGCCTGGCCACTGGCCTCGGCGTCCTGTAGCTCGCGGGCACCTGGCAGTTATGGCATTGCAAGCTGCCCACGGGTCGGCCCCCTGCCTCGTCGGAGCAAATCTGTGCGCCGACCGGGCGCTTCTCTCGAGGGCGCGCCACCCACCAACGTGGCGCGTCTGCCCTCCCTCTTCTCCTTCGGGGGCGCCCATCCCCCGGGCGGATGCTCCCCCTCCCCCCCCTGGCTGGTAGCCTGGCCCCCCCCCCCCCAGGTGGTGGGCCTCCGCGCTAGGGTGCGAGGCGACTTGGGCGCCCCCCCCCTGCATGCGGGTGCTTCCTTACAACATTTGTGTAGGTCGATCGATTGCGTTCCATGACGCTGCAGTGTTCCATCCGATGACCTGGCTCCCCGGCGGTGCAGCTCTCCTGTGGGGCCGCCGCTCGCCCTGCCGCCCCCGCTCGTTTCCGCGCCCGCCGGCTGCTTGGCGCGGCGGCCCCGAGGCCTCCCGGCTGCGCTGCTTGTGCCGGCCGGGAGGGCGCCCCCCTCCGCCCCGGCCCGCAGCCCCTGCCGCGGGGCGCTCCGCCTCGCCAGGCCTGAGGCGGGCGGTTCCGCCGCGCCCGGCCGTGGTGCGCACGCCGGCGGGGCTCGGCTCCCCGCCCCTCTCCCCTCGGTCTCCCGCCGTCGTCGGGGCTTCTCCGCGCGACCTGCGCCGTCGTGCCGCCCGACGGCGTGCTCCTGCGGAGCAGCCCCGCCTCCTATGACAGCCGTGAACGTCGCCGCCGCTGGCGTTCGCCAGCGCCCCCCGGTTCAAGGGGGGCTTGCGAAATCTGCTGCATGCAGCTGGTTTCGGCCCCACCGAGGGGCCCATTCCCCATTCCTCGATACATGGCAGCCTCCTGGCGCCGGGAGGCGCCGGGGAAATCAGCTACGTGAGCTGATTCTCACCCCCCCCTTTGCTATCCCCCCCTGTCGCAGGGCCCGAATCCGGGCTGTTGGCGTCGGTTACTCAGCAGTCTCTGGCGCTTGTTGCGCTCGCCCCGGCAGCGTCGCAGTCCCGCAGCCTGGTTCTCAACAGCTCAGCAGGGCTCTTGCAGCATCTCGCTGCCGCGAGCCCTCGCGGCCCTGCCCCTGGTGGGCTTGGGCCTTCATGCGTCCGCCAGCCCTGCCGTGCAGCGAGGCCTGTCGCTGCGGCCTTGCGGCGACCTCCTGGACAGTGGTCCTGCGTGGGCTCGCTCGCCGCTCTTCTTCCAGCGTTGGTGCTACTTCGTCCCCGGTGCATACTGCTGCCTGCGCCCCGATGGCCGCCCGGCCACTCCAGTCGAGTGTCTTCGCGCTGTGAGTGTCCTCCTTCCTTTCCCGCCCTCCGCGACCGCGCTACTCCTAGGCCTCCCCTCCTGCTGCCGGTCAATTCGTGTCTGCCATTGCCTTGTGCACTAGAGCGCGCGTGCGGAGTGCCTCTGCCGCGCTGCGACGTAAAAAAGTGCGTCTTGCTGTCGCTGTCCAGGATAGCCTCCAGTTCTTGAGTGCAGCAACGGATGCCTGATGACATGACGAGCAAATCCAGAAGTCTGATACCTCCATGCTGGTGCCAGCACCGATATCGGAATCGCCGACGTTGGCGTTCAAGTATCCAGGAACTCCCGAGGAGGCCAGCACATCTGAAATCATAGGAACGTATCTCCAATCGCGTCGGGGCTTTCACGCGCTGCGTGGCTCGCCGGCGCAGCCGTCAATCTTTGGAGGCTCCTGTCTGCGAGGCTCTCGCTGTCATGCGTATATACGAATCGGCGGGGATCCTGAGACCGTGACGATGCCACTGATAGCTGCTCTGGAAGGGACCACAACAGAACCGAACTTGGGATCGTGAAAACCTGGTGCAGCCGAACCCAAATCGCCACCCCTCCTGAAACGCCACTGGCAGCGGTCCTGTGGCGGCGGGTTCGGAACGCGCTTTCCAACCCCTCTTTCTCGCCCAGTGTCCTGCTCTGGCGACGCAGTCGGCCGATGCGAGATGATGCTCTTGCACGAGAATGGCGCGAGAGGTCGAGGTTTCAAGCCGCGACTCGATGGACGTGCACGTCGTTCACTTCGCCGCTTCCATCGCCAGCTGGAACGTGCATGCAGGGCACGGAGGGCAGAGACAAACAAGCGGCGAGGTCGGGGGGGATGTTGCCATCGGGCGGCAGCCTGTACAACTTGCTGGCTGTGATGGGAGCCAGATCTTTTGAAGCACCATGTGCCTCCCCGTTGGCCGAGCACGCCTGGCTCCTTGCCGCGCGCCCGCCCTCGGGAGAGGGACCCCTGCAGCAGTTGCCGTCGCCACGGTGCACCCAGGGCTTGCAGAGGCCCGAGACGACGAGGACGTGACCATATCAAACGCTTTCTGCCTTTCGAGGCCCTCTTGGAAGTTCTCGTGGGGCTCTCTTGGGGCGTCTTGGGGCCTCCTGGGCAGTCCTGAGGCCGTCTGATGTGTTCTTGACTCTTGGGCTCTCCTGGGCGTGTCGGAGCCCTTCTCCAGCCGTTCTGGAGAGCATCTCGGTTGTCTCTTGGAGGCCACGCCCGGTGAGTTTCGAGGCTCCGAGTGCACTGGAGGTGCGCTGACGAGCTCGTTGCAGGGCTCCGGAGGCTAGGACTTTGCCAGCACCGCCCTTGCCATATCCTCGGCATCGCTCGGACGTGTGCATTTTTCCTTCGGCGAGGACCATCGAGGAGCATCCTTGATCATTTGGCGAAAGAACCACGCACGAAACCGAAAAAAACCCAGGGAATGGACGTCCGAGCGATGGCGAGTGCCATATCCAGGGGTGCGTCCCGTCAAGGATCTGGAGGCGGATCCAGCCGCGGCGACGAGAAGCCCCCGGCAGGCCCCCCACGGGCCGCGAGACTTGCAGAGCCTCGATCTACGATCTCCCTGCCCACCCCCAATTAATTACGTAGGCCTTGCCTACAGTGACCAGCGCTGAACACATCCCTATCCCTAAGATTGACATGCCAAAAAGCGGTGACAATCTTAGGGATGCGCCCTCAAAACATAAGGGAATCCCAAATATTGGCATCGTGATGAGGAGATGCCCAGCATAGGGATAGGGATATGTTCCAGGCTGGTAATACAGGTTTATTTTTGAAGAACTCGTGGGTGCGAGCCCTGTGCTGGCCGGCGTTCCTCGGGGTTCCTTACCGCGGGCTTTCCTCGGGGCTCCCGTGCCATTGTTTCTCTACTGGCGCCCCCGGGCGGGCTGCTTGGTCTTCTCTTGCTTTCTCGCTGCTTCCCGCGGTTGCTGCGTCTTGTCTCCAAGCAGCGCCAAGAAGCACCGGGCAACGGCAAGCCAAGCTGAGCAATTCTAAGCAACGCCAAGCTGCACCAAGCGATGCACTGGGAGTCTGGGGAGCTGAAGGAGCAGCGAAGGGTCCGCGCCCGCGGCGCCGCGAGGCGAGCCTGTTCCGGCCGATGGCGGCACTGCAGGCGCCACGGGCTTGCTGCGATGCGGGGCATGGCCAGGATGGACGTTGGGGCGGGGGTTCCATGCGGAGGCTCGGGGAGGGGAGGATGAGGATGGGGACTGGAGCCGGCTGCGGGGCTGAGGTGGCCCAGCACTGCAGCACTGGTTCCGGCCAGGAGAAAAGGGAGAGAAAGGCGCCCCCTCGTCGCCACGGCTGGGCGCGCCTGGAATAACTTGCCAGCTTCGGTTTCGTCCCCTGGAGGGGTCCCAGGACAGATTTTGAGCGGATTCATCCCCGTCCCTCCCTCTTGGCATGTTGATTCTTTAGGCTTACGCCACACCGCCGACCCTTTGTTTTTTTTGGAGGCAATCTTGGACGTCTTGGGGGCGTCATGGCCCGACTTTATCCCCCGCATTCCTATCGTCGTCGTCTTTGCTCCTCCTCCCAGTAGTCGGCCCATCCCGCCACCGTGCCTGAGTTGTGGTTCGGAGGCCTCTCAGATTCAGGAGAAAGTCCAGATTCGGTGCGCGAAGTGCAAGAATTCCTTGAAGACGGAGGCGGAAATGGCGGCGAACCAGTACGACTCGAAAGATGCGGGGGAGAGGCTTTGCAGGGCGTGCGCCCGCAACGAGAAGGGTGGGCGGAACGAGAAGGCGGATGCAGAGAACCGCAAGCGGAAAGCAGAGGCGGACGCGAAGCCGCTGACGTGCGCGGCGTGCAAAGGCGCGTTCTCGGAAACGAAACATTTGAAGCAGAAGCAAGTGGAACATCATCGAGCGGCGAAAGGAGCTAAACTGGTGTGCAGAAGCTGCGAGGAACTCGGGTTCACAGCGCGCAGTTGCCAGGCTTATCAGTGCAGCGGCGCGTGCAAGAGAGGACTACCAAAGTCGGCGTTCCCCGACCCTCACAATGTCCCGCGCGACGCAAAGAAGGGCACCCTAAAGTGCAAGACGTGCAAATGATGCCCAATCGGTTGCGCGTACTGGGCAGAAAGGGAGGACGGGAAGAGGAGGATGGGGGGTGAGGCGGAAAATGGGGGGGAGAAGCATCGGTGAAGATGAGCTGAAGCGGGGCAGGGAGAGGAGGAGGGGAACGAGGAGGAAGTGTAGGAGGAGGAGGAGGAAGAGGAGGAGGACGGGGACGCTGAGATGAGGCTCCGGGTTATGGGGCTGGGCGCGACTCGAAAAACCGGTTTGTTCAGGGATGTCCGTTGGGATCTTGCGGGGGGGCTTCTTGCGGGCCTCTTGGAGCAGATTCGAAGGCTCTTGGGGGCCGTTTTGGGACCTCTTTGTGGCTTCTTGGGCGCCTCTTGGAACGTCTTGGGGGCCTCTTGGGAGGTTCTTGGGGCCTCTTTGGGGCCCTCTGGGGGCCTCCTGGGGGCCTCTTGGGACGTAAGGCTGGGTTTTCCGGCGCGTGGTCTCTCTCTGGAGCCCCTCTTGGGCCCGTCTCTGGGAGGTTCTTGGGCCGTCTTGGGCGGCTCTTGGGCCGTCTGGGGGCTCTCTTGGGCCGCCTTGGGCGGCTCTTGGGCCGTCTGGGGGCTCTCTTGGGCCGTCTTGGGGGCGTCGAGGAGGCCTGTTGTGCCGTCTTGGAGCAGTCTTGGGAGCTTCTTGGGCTGTCTTGGAGCGTCGGAAGGCCGAAAAGGCGAAAATGACGAAAACATCGAAAAAACAACCAATGCAAATCAACGATTTTGGCCTCTTGGGGCGCTCCTCGGGGGCCTCTTGGAGGTCTCTTGGGGCGTCTTGGAGGTCTCTTCGGGCGTCTTGGAGCCCTCGTGGGGCGTCTTGGAAGCCTCTTGGGGCCTCTTGGGCGCTTCTTAGGGCGTCTAGGCGGTCTCTTGGGGCGTCTGGGGGCCTCTTGGAACGTCTGGGAGGCCTCTTGGGGCCTTTTTGGCCCGTATTTGGGCCTTTTTGGGCCCGGAAGAGCGTCGTGAGTCGCTCGTGGTCGGCCCCCCCCCCCCCTCCAAATCGACCGGACCGGGTTCCCCGGGGAGGGGTTTGGGGAGGGGGAAGCATCTCACACGCCGATGACCCAGGGGGTCGGCGGATTTCAGGGGGGAAAGAGCATAGACACAATCGTCGATTCCCTGGATACCAGGGAACGTATGGGCAGTGGAGGGAAAGACGAACGTCCAGAGAATATTGGGAGCATATGGGGGACTTTGGGGATTGTGCCTACTTGCCTGTGTGCCCCTGGGCCCCTTTCATCTTGGGGCCCCTCTGGCGCAGATCCCCGGGGCCGCTGCACAGGTCCAGGTGGCAGCTCGGCGAGGGGAGGGTGGGGCAGAGTTTTTTTGGGGGGGCAGGCGGAGGAGGAGCGGGGCCGACGACGGAAGGTCGGGAGCGGACGGGGCGGGGACGCGGAGGGGGGAGGAAAAGGGGGGGGAGGAAGGGGAGGCGGAGGTGGAGGGAGGAGGAGGAGGATGGTTGCGTCTGACGGACTCTCTGACAATCAGCGCCTCCGTGCCTCAGGAGGAGGAGGGGGACTACGTGAGGAGGAGGAGGTGGAGGAGGAGGAATGGATGAGCGGATGAGCGGATGAACGGATGAACGGATGAACGGATGAACGGATGATGTTGCTGATGATGCTGCTGATGATGATGCTGCTGCTGCTGATGATGATGATGATGACTATGATGATGATGATGATGATGATGATGATGATGATGATGACGATGAGGATGAGGATGAGGATGAGGATGCTGATCCTGATGATGATGATGATGATGATGAGGATGATAGTGATGCTGCTGCTGATGATGATTGTCTGTCATGGTGAGGGTGATGGTGATGGTGGTGATGATGCTGATGAGGATGATGATGCTGATGGTGATGATATTGATGCGGTTGATGATGATTATGGTGACGATTATGATGATGCTGCTGATGCTGCTGATAATAATTCTGCTACGCATGATGATGATGATGCTGCTGATGATGATGATTATAAGAATCATGCTGACGCTGATTATGACGGTGCTGACGATGATGATGCTGATTATGATGATGATGATGTTGATAATAATGATGATGATGATGCTGAGGGGGGTGATGATGCTGCTGATGATGATGCTGATGATGACGATGACGATGCTGATGCTGCTGCTGATGATGATGGTGCTGATGGGGATGAGGATGAGGACGATGATGAGGATGAGGATGAGGATGAGGATGATGATGATGATGATGATGATTATGATGATTATGACGGTGATGACGACCATAATGAAAATGCTCATGATGATAATGATGATGATGATTATGATGATGCTTATGATGATGATGGTGATGATGATGATGATGATGATGCTTATGATGATGATGATGATGATGATGATGATGATGATGATGCTGATATTGATGCTGATGCTGATGCTGATGATGATGGAGATGATGAGGATGATGATGATGCTGATGCTGATGCTAATGCTTCTGATGATGATGGTCATGATGATGATGATGATGATGATGATGATGATGATGATGATGATGGTGGTGGTGGTGGTGGTGGTGGTGATGATGATGATGATGATGATGATGATGATGATGATGATGATGATGAATGTTTAAGGCGATCTCTCCACCCACCGATTCACCTCCAGACCGACATCCTGGAACCACGCGTGTGCGCAAGGGCTCCCCCCTGCTTGACCGCCCAGGTCTAACCCCAGGCAGGTCTGATCCGCCACGCCTGCGGCGAAGATGAAGATGATGCCCTCCAAGTCCCCTGAGGGGAACTGCCGGACCTGGCTCCAGCAGGAGAGCCGGTCCCGCTGTCATTCGTCCGCTGGTCCCCACATGGGAAACGAAGTGAAACAAACCCTGCGTACAGGTGAACGTGCTGCTGCGATGGCGGGGCTCCTTGTCCGGTCCTGGTGGTGGTGCCTCCTGGCGGGCTTGGCCTGCTGCTTCCAACCCAGGCGCCGGAGCTCAACGACCAATAACCCCAAATGGTGGCCCTCGGAAGCCCCAGGACAAGCCGGCGGTGGTACATGCGATGACGGTGGGAACACTGTCGCGGGAAACCCGCGGTCGAGTGGAGGGAAGGAAGAAGGGAATGATGAAGACGAGGATGAGGATGCTGATGAAGGTGGGGGATGGGGAGATGAAATGAGAGAGCCGCTGTCCATCGGCCCCGCGCTCTGGCTGCTGGGGTGGAAATGCGGCCGGTTATCACAGCCGCGACATGTTTAGGAATTCCAATGGTTCCTCCCCCCCGTGATCGTCCTCCTGTCCCCTCCTGTCGCTCTGAAGAGGCTGCGGGTCGAGGCGGGGAGAGGGAGCCTATCCCCGCTGCGGCCGGCATGGCTGCTCCAGGGCATGCTTGCGGACTAATCGGCGAAGCGTCGATGCCGGCAGACGCTGACGGCACTGCGAACCGGGCACTGTTCCCCACACAGTGCTTGCACATCAGGTTCCTAACGTGGGTAGGGGAAGAATCCCACTGTTTGGGATCCACGTTGGCAAATGCTGAACATGCGAATGTGGCAGAATTCGTATCCTAGGGCACGGGCGCGGTGGACGATACGAATGTGGCCCATTTCGTATCTTAGGGTGCCCGCGCAGATAGGAATTCTGGCGATGGTTCCTATCCTGGACCGCCTCGCTGCTGGCGGACCCGAGACGGGGCGACGCTGCCCAGTAACCACAACGCTTGCATTGACAGAGTGGCTGTTGGCATCGCCTGATCCCCCAAAGTCGGAAGGCTCACGTCGTCCACCCGGGCGAACGATTTCAGCATGTTGATGCCCATGTATGCACCCTGCTGCACTTCAGCCCAAGCTGGTCGTCGCCAGACGTTGAGCTTTCACCAACTTTGTGCCACGCTGACATGGGGATTCTGTGGCAAGAAGCTCCATGGGCACCCGCATCCTGGGACATAGCGAATCCCGAAGACTATGCGACTATGTAGAGTACGCTGTGACTGCCCGCGGCCGCGCAGCTGAACCCAGAATTTACACACCTGGTCTGGCTCGGAGTCAAGGCAGGCCCACATGACGTTTTCTTAGTTGAGGGCCACCCA